GCAGAGATTGATACCAGGTGGATGACCCAAACCCGTGAATATATCAGTGGCACGCTGCCCTAAAAATGATTTGAACTCCGGTGCTACCATTTTGTTTCCTCCCTAAATCTCCCTGTTCGTGCTTGGGTGAGCACTTGCTGACTGAGACCATGTGTGCTTTGAAATCATCCTCCAGGAGCAGTAAGTATTCTGCTAGAGCAGCGGTCTGGATGATTAAGTTTGTAGCTGGTAAGTGAGGCTTGGTAAACTGAACTGTAGCTGGCATCTGCATCCAGCCCTAGATTGAATCCATTTTCAAGTGGGACTTAACTACGGTGTTATTTGTAAAAAGAAGGCAGTCTGTGGCTGTGCTATTGTTTCTTGACCTGTGTTTTTATTCCATTAGAAATCAGTAGCAATATTGATCACCTACTGTTTTGTTTATAAACATGCAGCAAAATACTTTGTAAGGCTACAGTTCTAAATGCAAAAGGCAAGTCTCTGACCTGCAACAGTCAAACAGGTACGCAGTAGATCTTGGTGGCAGCTGGTGAACTGTTCTTATGGGCAGCATCATAACGCTGTTGTATTTTTGTCTTTTGAATGATGCACGGTAAACGCAGCTTGATGCATGCTAGGATTTTGCAGGTGAGGACTGAAACATAGCAGAGCCTCATCCAAGGGATTATATTCACTGTATTCGTTGGTAGACTTGCATTGCCTGTTATCTAATGTATAATTCTTCTGTGGATTAGGATGTGACAGATTGCATGAGGAAATGTCAGTCTGGCTGGAACTCCTGTTCTCAGGTTGGTTGAGCAGCTCAGCCCACATGAAACAAGTGACAGCAGGGTTGGAGGAGTAACAAGCAAAGTAGGCTTCAACAGGTGTAGCTTTTTATTCTTCCAACGGTGCAGGAATTGAGAAGGGTGAAATTATTTTGTAGGGAGTAATTGGTAATCATTTTGATCTCTTTAGCTTTTTAAGACACTGTATTCTTGCAGTGAATCTCTTACACCAGAAGTAACCTTCTTGCCCTTGCTTTGAGGCTTATGAGGTCTGTATCAAATGCCTTGTTTCCTCTGCTCCATTATATCTCCCATACAAGCCTTTGTCTTAGTCTCTTAAAACAATTTCTGGACTCTCTTCCATTTTGCTTCTGTAGCGGAAAGCTCTCCTTCCTCTGATCTGGTCTTTCAAGCTGCGTGTCCTCTTTCAATCCCACTCATTCCTGAAAATGGCCTTTTCTGAGATATTTACAGTATCTGAGTCAATATTTCTCTATTTCTTTTTGTAAACAAAAGCAGTAATTCACAATTCAAAATGAGTAATTCAGTTACTGTGTTGTGGGCTTCTGTCAAAGGAAGACCGGTGATTCTGAAGTGCTTTTCCAGTCTGACATTCTTCTATGTGGAGCTGAAGATATTTCTTCCATTCAAGTTCTTAAGTCCGCCTTCTCGTTTCAGTGTAAAACTACCTCTCAGAATATATCAACTAAAGTGATGAATTTTTTTCATCCAAAGCTTTTTTCCTTCATTCTTTTCCCAGGGAAACCACTATTTAAATAAGCTGTGGTCTCATTTTCTTTCTCTTTTTTTTTTTTTTTTTCCCTCCTCCCTGCAGAGGTGCTGAGCTAAGCATGCTGGAATTTTTGTGGGTTAGGCCTCACTGTTGCATATGGATCAACATGCTTGTTTTGATTGACTGTTTTTTTCTTTCATTTTTTGTGTTGATTTGGAATTATATTTTGAACAATAATCTTTTTTATAGATACAGACTTGTTCTTTGATCCACAGTGTAGTGTCTGGATGTCTCTGGATGATCTGTCAGACCGATTCTTTTAGGACAGATCAGTTCAGGTTGTCTGGAAGGGCTCCCATTCACTGTGTAGGCATTGCGAGAAGTGTGTTGTTTTCAGAACTGTGGATCTCTACTGAACAAACCAGAACCGAAACATGCTGGGGAGCTTTTGCTTTTTGGTGAATGTCATCTTTCACACCTGGAGTGTGAAGATACGATGTAGTGATGGCATCTAGTGATCTGGTCTGAAGAGTAGATCTATTGTTAAAGGATCCTACAGTCTTCTGAGCAGTTATTTTTTCCAGGTGTCACTGTGGAAGTGGATGAAGGGTAACTGTGTGTTGTGCAAAAGCTGCGCTTGTCCTCTGCTATAATTCCTTATGTTTCTGAAGCATGGTATGTTGCTTCTAGAGCACTGGGCTGGAAGAGGCAACTTAAATGTAGGATTTAAGTTGACGTTGCTCAAAAGTTTCAACACTGGTTCTTTCCTATATAAATCACTACTTCAAGCCATAGCAAAGACTAAACTGAATCTTTTTAGTAAAGGATTTCAAGCATTTTGAAATACGTGGCAAGAGGCAGGGCTTCCAGAGTGTAATCTTCATGAAAGAGTCCTCCTCTGTTTTCAATACTGAATGAGTTTCAGAAACTACAGTTGCTAAAGATTAAAGAAGGAACGCTTAGCCAATTTTACACCAGCTCTTTTCCTTTTTGCAGCTTTTAGTTTGACAGATAAATTTTTCTTTGCCAAGCTACCTACTCAAACGGTAACCATGCCACAGCACAGTTATAGTTCTGTTTATCCTCCGTAACCAGTTCTACTGCTATTAATCTGAATTCCTTTGCAGGCAGGAGGAGGGTTAGAAATTAGCCCAGACATCTTGCATAGCTAGACAGGTCAATGCTTTTATTTTGCTTGCTCTGGTTTTTATTATTATATTTGATCTTGAGGCTTCATTTGCAGATTGTGCTTTGGTTTGGTTCTCTCTGTTAGTCTCAAGGCATTTCCTGCATAATTGGGAACGTTCTTGAGATGTTCCCACTTCTGTTCCCTGTATATAGCATTTTTCTCATTCTAACTGCTTTAAACTTGGTTTAATTTTTTTCTTCTAAATGTAACTAGAGTCTCACACTAGTAAATTGTCTAGCTCCTTCAGTATCTGTTAAGTAGCTGTTCTGCATGTTTTTTGCATGCCTTTCATTTAGACATCCATTCTGATGGCCAAGAATAGGCTACTACTTGTTTAGGAATGACTCTTTGAAGTGATGGAGAACTCAATTTTGAGACTTTGTCTTAAAGCCCTAAATATTATTATTTGATTCATCAAGTTGACAGCGCGTTGGAAGTAGTTAGAATGGTCTGTTTTGGAAGGGACATTAAAGATCATATAGTTCCAACCTCCCTGCCATGGGCAGGGACACCCTCACTACATTGCCCAAAGCCCCATCCAGCCTGGCCTTAAACACTTCCAGGGAGGGGGCATCCACAACCTCTCTGGGCAACCTGTTCCAGTGCCTCACCACCTCACAGTGAATTTCTTCCTAATATTTCTTCCTAATAACTAGTCTAAATCTACCCTCTTTTAGCTTAAAGCTGTTAGCCCTTGTCCTATCACTATATGCCCTTGCAAAAAGTCCCTCTCCAGCTTTCTTGTAGGCTCTCTTCAGGTACTGGAAGGCTGCTCTAAGGTGTCCCCAGAGCCTTCTTTTCTCCAGGCTGAACAACCCCAACTTTCTCAGCCTGTCCTCATAGGAGAGGTGCTCCAGACCTCTGATCGTCTTCATGGCCCTCCTCTGGACTCTCTCCAACAGCTCCATGTCTCTCTTGTACTAGGGCCCGCAGAGCTGGGTGCAGGACTTCAGGTAGGGTCTCACAAGAGCGGAGTAGAGGGGCAGAATCACCTCCCTTGACCTGCTGGTCACACCTCTTTTGGTGCAGCCCTGGACACAGTTGGCTTTCTGGGCTGCAAGCGTGCATTGCTGGCTCATGTTGAGCTTCTTGTCCACCAAGACCCTCAAGTCCTTCTCCTCAGGGCTGCTTTCAATCGATTCTCTGCCCAGCCTGTAGTTGTGCTTGAGATTGCACTGATCCATGTGCAGGACATTACTCTTGGCCTTGTTGAACTTCATGAGGTTCACATGGGCCCACCTCTCAAGCCTGTCAAGGTCCCTCTGGATGGCATCCCTTCCCTCCAGCGTGTCGACCACACCACACAGCTTGGTGTCATCAGCAAACTTGCTGAGGGTGCATTCGATCCCACTGTTCGTTATCCAGACTGTTCCTAATATAAAGAGCTAAAACATGTTGATTAATCTGAAACTTCCTTTCAATCTGTTCTATGGCTTTTCCACCACTTCTGTGTTGTTTTCTGACTTTTTTTTTTGCCTTGTCCTTTATGGCTGTTTTTAATTCCTCTCTACCTTAGTTTTTCCTGCTTTTCTTATTTGGATGTTTGAAAAAAATGACAAAACGATTAGAGTAAAACATGGAATTCTTTGGCCAGATGTTATCGTTAGGTATGGATTTCTGTTTTATAAGTATTAATGTCTGGGTGAGAAATCCAAGACACACAACCATCTGTTCTTCCAATGCCTGCAATGAATGTGGAATTTCCTCTGTTGACCATATGTTTTCCGTTGCTGTTGGAACAGTAAAATGAATTTGAGGCACTTGTGGTCAGTTTTTCTGCATTAAAATTGTTTAGAGAATCTGGGAAAGCAAAGAATTGGGAAAGTACTCATTGGACCTTAGGGGAGGAGTGACTCCTCAGAACCTGTATTTTTACCTCCAATTGTAGTTAACTAAGTCTTCAGAATCCCTCAAAAACTCTTTGCATGAATACATGTGTGTTTTTGTGCATGGTCAAGGTGGGAGGCATTAGGAGGCGGACACATGGTGAGGAACTGTTCAGTTTGCTTTAATGTGAGAGTATGTGCATCAAGCCGGAGTGAGAAATGCCACTGCTGGCGGCAGGCAGGCAGGGTCTTGGACTAGGGGGCAGTTCGTTTCGCTCTGCACGTTCTTATTAAAATAAGAATGCATAGGATATCAGGGCAAAAACCTGGATATTACTTTACGATTGTTACATAATTCCTTGTTTTGTATGAGTTCATGACCTATTGCAGCAAAACACTCTATTCTTTCCTTACAGTCTTCCTCAGTTACCCAGAGAAAACCCTACGTGCCCCATAAAAGCACTGCCGCATCACAAGCCAACCTGATGGCGTCGTCTACTGCTGTGCCTGTAGGATTTCACTACGAAACAAAATACGTAGTTCTCAGCTATTTGGGACTTTTATCACAAGAGAAACCGCAGGAGCATCCTCCTCCTTCAACTCAAGGTAATATTTGCATATTCATCTGTACCCATTTACATGTGCAACTGTATGCAATTAGTTCTTCAACTCTTTGTGCGTGGATGCAGACTGTTAGCCTGATGTTCAGTGTAATGCATCTCTTATTTTATTCATTTAAAATAATGGGAAGAGATGACGATCAAGTAAAAGTTGTTTGTATTTAGATTACTGTTTTAATTTGAGCTATGCCAGGGCTGATTGGCGTTTATGAAGTAAATAAGTGGTTTTAGTAGCTGTCTAAAGGTTAGGAGGGATGAATGTATATTATCTTCATGAGCTATCTTGAGAATTTGAGCCCATGCTTGCTTTTTTTGGGAGGCAGGTGGAAGTAAGCAGGGATGAGGTGGTGTTTACTGGCATAAACTCTAAGCGATGACTTGAGCAATCTGATGTGCTAAATAGTTTTGCCCTATTATGTTAACACTTCTGTTGTTGTCAGTCAGTGGTAGTGCGGAGATGTGAGGCTTAGCATGGCCTATGCTGCATTTATTAATTTATTTATAAGACGTCAGGGACTGCGTGGAGTCAGAGTCTTTCTTCCAGAAGACGTTCATGCATATAGGAGGTTAAATAAGTAAATAGGAGGCAGAATAAAAGAAGTTTGATAGATTGTGTTTCACATAAACCTAGGTTGTAAAACTTCCTTTATTTTGTGGTAGCATGCACTTAAACAATGGTGTTTGTCAAGATTGTTTTGGTGGCTTGTCAGCTCTTAATGAGTTTCAGTCAGTACTAGTTGCTGTGATTCAGAACTTATTTTGATGAAAGCTGTATTAAAAACAAAACAAAACAAAAAGACTTCAGGATCTTTTTCTTCTTGAACAAGCACTTAAGAATGCATACTCTGTCATTTACTGAACTCACCTGCCATGAAATGAGAAATTCCTGAAAAGAAAAGATAGCATCAAACATGACAGAAGTAATTTTATCAGTTTGGCACTAAAGCATATAGCATATGCTGGTTATATATCATTTATAACATTGAATTTATTTAACATCTTTGTTGGCAACATGGAC